GTTCAATTAAGGACAAATTAGAACTTTTTACTATCATTTTATTTGCCCAAACGTATCATATATTGTTTTTTTTGCTATTGGGTTAAAATTAAGGTTCAATACTTGAAGGATACTGATAAGATGCAAAGGAGATTTACTTAAGTGGCAAATGTTCTGTACATAGTATTTTATGGAACACTAAACTGAATATTTGGCTGCTGCCAACTTTTTTATATACTATGTTTATTGAATGTGGATGAGATTCAGTTTTAAAAGGCAAAATATTTTAATGCCCTCAGGTAAAAATATAACTCTTCAACTAAGTTTTTTTCAATAAGAATTTATTACAAACATTGATTAATGGAGAATTGCAATACAGATAGAAAAATCTAGACTTTACAATATCTAGGGTCCAACTTTACAGAAATAGGACCCAATCACAGTATGAACGAACACTGATTTGTGCTTGAAGCATGATGAATTAGTGTGTAATATACAGAAACAAAAAAAGGCAAAATATGCCCTATGGAGATAAAAGATTAAGATTATGCTATACAAAGTGACAGTGAAAACTGTGACTCCGATTTCATGGGTTGTATACATCCAGTTTTTCTTGTTATATTAATTTGTTCAAAGCATAGCTGGGCTGAACAATAATAGCACTATACAGTAATTTTATGTGTGTGCTTTTGCTATATCTTTTCCTTTAGTTTGAACATATATTGAAGTTGTAATAGAGAAGAACAACAATACAAGCTATTCTGTTCTCTTTTCCTGTTTCATTTTATTCTTCCCCGTACAATTCCCTATATAATATGCACCATCCCATGCTGTTAAAATTATACTATGTAAATGTTATGAATTGAAATAAATGTTGGGTAACATTTTTGCAAAAACACATCTATTTTACTTTCTCTTTTAAAGAATCTAACAGTTCTTTTTTTTTCCTCATTATTTCTCCCTTCACTTTTATTCAATTATATTTCTTTCTATCAAGGTTTTATTAATTCTCCATCAAGCATAAACACACAAAATACAGATAAAACAGATAAAACCTTCTTAATTATTATTTATACATGTCTTTTCCAAAATTCTCTCCCTTTAGTTTTATTCCTCCAAGGTTTTATTAATTCACAATCAAAACATAGCTAACCAAAACACAAAACATAAAACATAAAACTTCTTTTGAAAAGTGGCTTAGCGCTGGGTTACATCTTTTGACAGACCTAAATCAAGTTCGTGCTCACCTTATATACCATTCATATCTTATTAACCGTTCTATATTTTCTATATAACTTCTCCCTTCTTTTCACTCTCTTAGTTATATTTTGTTTATTTCATCTTATTTCAGAATCATTATGTTTGTATCTTTTGTCTGTTCTTTTCCAATCATCTATTTATCTCTTCTCTTTAGCAAAAGAATTTCCCCTGTAATCACTTTTAAGGTGTGACGCCTTTCCCTAAAGTAACACTTAAAATAATACATAATTTCTATCCTGATTCTGCTTAGTACATTCTACATGATGCATTTTGAAAAGAAAAAGAATAATAAACTTATAATATAATTAAATATATAATTTCCATTCTAATTCTATTAATAGTATAACTAAACATTAATCATATTACACATTCTCTTTGATATTTTATTAAATATGGTGTCAGCCTCATGATATCTTCCTAATAAGTATATTCTGTCTTCTAACTATTGCATATCTGCTGCTATGCTAATTTACTTCTTTCAGCTGTCATGAAACGGTGGGAGGGGGGAATCTTGGAGGGGAAGAAGGCAGGAGGTGTTTTGCATTCCTTTGCTGGGTTAGCAAGGGGAGGGGGGATTCTTTTCTTTAACTTTCCATTTCTTCGCTAGCCTCTGTCCCTTTTTGCGCAACTGCGAACTTTTATCAAAATATGTCAAGGTCAACTGACAGTAGCCTCATCACCACCTGGAGATGACCACATGATCATATTCAGAAGTTTTAATTGGAAGAATCATTTGAACTTTGGGAGGTGGGAGCAATTCTATTCCTTTGTATATGTGTTCTACCCGCCAATTTCTTAGTTTCGGAATTGGCTCTGTCGTTTCCACTTTATTTCCCAGTAAAAGGATGACTTTGCTCTACACCATGGAGTCTGAGTATTTCTTTCTTGGGATTTAGAGGGAGCAGACTGACATATGGACTATTTCAAATGCAAATACTACAATACTATCTTATGTACTCTTGCAGAATCTTTCTTAAATTATACATCCTTTATCCTTTATCTCTAAAAAAAATATCTTGTTCCAGACCGTGGCTTTTTTTCCCTTTTTCCCTCCCTTTCTTCTCCAGTCTGATCTTTTTGTTCCCCCTTCTCCTAACCTCCACCTTTTTAGCTTCCCCTCTCTGATGTAATTCTCTTTTCAATTGCTTTCTAACATTGTACCTTTTTTTCACCTTATTTTTCTTTTTCTTGGTTGTTTTATTAAATCTTAAATTCTCATTTTTCCTTCCTCTCTTCCTATTTTCTTTCTTAATCAAATTTTTTTGTCCATTAAAAATGGCTTCCTTTTCTTCTTCTTCTCCTTCTTCATCAAGTATTTGCTGGTACGTAGAAACCGCCATTTCTAAAAAGTGGAAAACAGCTCCCAATGAGTTCTTGCCATTTGGTTCTCTTTCTTTTAATTTTTCATATTCCATTTTTAGTTGATCCAGAGATGGTGCCATTGTAAATTTTTAAAAACAACCCAGATGTTTTTAGTTTTAAGGTAATTTGCAAATGTCAAAGTTATCAAACAATCCAAACAGCCAGAAATTATTTCCTCTTCTTCTCTTTGCAACTTTTCCTCCTGGGGCAAAATCACAAATATATTTTAAAGCTGTATTACAATTAGTTGCTGGTCTTATAATCTTCAAAGCGTCTCCTCCAACCAGTTTTAAAAGATTTTTTTTTTTTAGTCCTCTCCTTCCCACTTATAACAAAGAGCTTGTTTTTACCTTAAAGCAGCAGGTTTTTCAGTGCTCATTTGCTTTCTCCGTAAGGAAGGGGAGTGAACTTTCCTTTCAGCACTTTCGCCGTTTTAACAACTCCTTTTGGAAACAAATGTATCAATCCAAAAGTCAGGTTTCCAGGGTGTTTAAAAGTATCTTAATGTCCCGGTTCAGCCAAGAAAACTTCTCCTTCTGATTCTTCCTCCTGCACAACTCTTATCCGGTTGAAGATTCCTATGTGGCTGCCATCTCTGACAGCCGCTCCACCGCCTCAGGAAAAAGGAGTCTAGCCGGCTGGGGAAAGGGGGTGCGATATCCCCAGACCCCTGCCCGGATCTCCTCTGTCTTCCGCTGCCTCTTCGGGGCAGCGACAACCCCCAAATCCAATTGGATCGGGGGTACCTCAGCGGCGAGCGCAGCAGGGACCCACAGAGAAGCGGATTCCTGCCGCCGCCGAAGCCTTGCAACTGGAAGTCCGAAGAATCTAACAGTTCTTAAAATATGTAAGATTGAAGGGAAATTTAAAGATCTTTCTTTAAAAGAAAATCTGTGTAGATGTAGGAAGATTCACAAAAGTAAAGTAAGTTCCCTGAAAAATATGTGATACCTTTCCTCTAAATATTTCAAATATTTCCTCTAAATTTTACTTCAATTTCCATCAATTCACAAAGAGGAGTGTCACCAACATATGGAACAAGATCTGGCATTTGCCTATTACATGCACAGCGTAAAACCTTCAATTGGAAATTGCAAAATTACAATTCAAATAAATTGTTTTATGAAGCATTTCTATCTTGCCCAAGACAATTGAGCATTATTTTGGCAAGTATTTGCAGGCATGATATTCCGCTCTAAAAAAAAAATCGGGGCCGGCCAAAAGAGACCCCCCGCTGCGCGCCCGGGGAGCGCCCGCTGCTTTCCCTCGCCAGGGCCGGGCGGTGGCGTGTTGCACGGAGGCTGGTCTGTGGCTGGCCCAGCTCCCTTTTCCTGCCACTCAGCGGCCTCCGCTCGCACCACCCGGGCTCCGCTCAGGTATCCGGCTGGGGCTGTCAGGAGTTGCTACCGCCGGCGCAGCTCCACGCGGCTCCAGTCCCGCGTTGCCTCGGGAAGGGACAGGCAAAACCAGGAGCCGCTGCTGCCGTTGCAAAGCGCCGCGGCGGCTCTTCCTTTTTGCCTTTCCCTTCCTGAGGCAACGCGGGACTGGAGCCGCGCGGAGCCGCGCCAGCAACTCCTGACTCGGGGCCTCCGAGGGGAGGGGAAGGAGAAGAAGGGGGGGGAAAGGGGGGGGCGATTCCCAAAAAAATCAGAATTCCGATTTTAATCGGAAGAATATCATGCCTGTATTTGCCAAAATTGAATGTATGACTACTACTTTAAAAGTATTGAAGAATTTGCTTTTATTAAATAATATATCGTATTAAATTGGAAACAGAAATAGGCTTAATGAAATAAAAATATCCACCACACTGACATTAATACTTCTAAACAAATAGTTATTTCCATAGAAGCAAACTAAATGTACTGATGACCATGTACATATTAACTTTCATGATTAGAAATAATTGTAAAGATTTAAAGATTTAATCTTGGCTAAATTCTGAAAGTGGATGGATATTAAGTTGGCAAACATGTAATTCAGACTAGTTGAAGTACAATAGAATTTTAAATGCTCCCACTATTTATAATAAATGGAAGTGACAAAATCCAGATCCTATAAAAGTTCAGTATTTGACACAGATTCATTGTACTTTTATAAGAGCTTAATAATGAATAAAAATAAGACTTCCAAAAATGAAAATATGTCTTTAATACATTTTCACTAAATGTGCCTGCCAACCAGCCAGATCAATAATCACAATAAAAATAAAATATTTACTGCTCAGAGGCTGTTTTGATTTGTCTTCCATCATTATTTATTCAAGATGCAAAAAAATTAGCCACATGAAAAACAACTCTAAATAATAACCAGATCTTTTCATCATAAGACTAACAAAACTGAAGAAACATTTATATTAGATGAATTATCATACGGTATAAATAAACTTCAAAACTTACCTACAGTTTGGAGGTGGGTCTAATGTAATTTCTGCAAGTTCCTTCTGAATCCTTAAGAGAAAAGAAACACATATTAAAAGTTTCCTTCCAATTTTATTGGAGGTAGTTAATCACTGGGAATAAAAAGTTTTAATTACAAATTAAAAGATTATCTCATATAATTTAATATATTTCAGCATTATTCATGGCTATGAAGTGGAAGGGAAATACTTACATAGACAAAAAGTATAGCTTCCATCCCAAAAGATAGTGACACAGAACATATTTATGATTGTAGAGGTGTTTCTTCTCCCCTGATCACATCTACTCCCCATCTCTGCCCTTTTGGTGCCCTGCACTCTAGTGCAGTAGTTGCCAACTGATGGTTCGCAGCCCACTGGTGGTCCGTGAGAAAATGTTGGTGGTCCGCAGAGAAATGTCACCCCCAGAGCACCCCCAAAGCAATTAATCCAGGCTGCATGGGATCACAGGCCTGCCGCCCACGTGGCTCGCAGGAACCCTCTCTGCCCACTCACTCCTCACCTGGCAAACTTGCCTGCTAAGTTGTTATTTTTCCTTTCCCCCCCCAACCATCAGCTGTTCTGCTGTGCCGGGAGATTTAGATTAGCTAGAAAGTAGGAAACCATTGGATTTTTTACTTTCTAGCTAATATTTAGATCTTTGGCTCTGCTTTTAAGCAGAGCCAAACCTTCCTTAGGACTGAAGCTTTAATGCAGGTAGCCGATGGCAGAATCATAGATCTCTAAGTGAATCTGTGATTCTATGAGCAATTCAATCTACCTGCCTGCTTTGCCTCATTTTGGATAAAAGTTGCTCTTTTTTATATAAAAAATCAATATTTACATCAATATTTATAATATTTACATACAAGCCATGCCCAGCCAGTCACATGACCACCAAGCCACACTCACAAATTAGGCCACACCCACAGAACCGGTTAAGAAATTTGCATCCCACCCCTGCCTGTGTGTGTGTGTGAGGGGGGGAAGAGGGGAAGAGAGGTTAGATATATATATATATATATATATATCTCCCCCCCTCCCTCCCTCCCCCCCCTCTCTCTCACCAATGTCAGCAAGCCACTGTCAGTCAAAATTCATATTATTGGTCCCCGGGATTTAAAATTAGGAGTTTGGTAGTCCCTAAGGTCCAAAAGGTTGGTGACCCCTGCTCTAGTGCTCCCAGTTGATCTTTGCAGTCTTCTTGTTCCCACTGCAAGATCATCTGGCCTGGCCTTTCCTAAGGCAGATACTAGCCATGTGAGGTTTTCTTCCTGAGATTATGGGCAGCAGTTTTCTTCAAGACCTATTTGGGGAGGGAGGGAGGCCTTGTGTGGCCAGCAACTATCTCATGAAAGGACACTGTAGATATGTCCTCTTTCAATTTCTGAGCAAGATGATGATAAAAACTGTGGCAGTCAAGATTGCCTCTGCAAACGGTACCAGGCTCCTTAAAATGCAGTGGCTGGGACTTTGGCTGCACTGCTAGGTTTGGGTGGTTAAGGCTGCCAAAGATGGCTGGGACTTCTTCCTGAATCGCAGCTTGGGAGCTTCTTGAAATCCTAGAGTATGGTGCACCAAGAAACCCCTGAGCCATAGTGCAGCAAGAAGCACTTAGAACATTTCTGAGGCTGCTTTTCACTCGTAAGGTATGGTGGAGGGTGGCAGAGATTGGTGTATGTGTGAAGGCAGCTTGTTGGGAATTAAAGAGAAAGCAGACCTTATTTTGGAAGAACAGAGATTCAGGGCTGGAGGGTCCAAGCCAGTAATAGCTTGAATTGAGGTTGATCCTTGATTGGTAGGATTTGGATAATAATGGTAATGGGTAATGATGGTATTGTTATTGCTAAATGATGCAGACATGTGATGTTGAGCTTTGTGACCATATTTACTAGGAATGGAAATCCTAATCCCAACTGTCAACATAACTCAAGGATACCTGTAATTTGAAAATAAATGAATGCAAAACTTTTTAACTAAATAAGAATTATACGAATCCAGGTTATGTAATGGCTAATATCTTCTAGAACAAAATTTCTTAAACCAAATGCCCTATAACCCCAGTACCCCTCAAACACCTAGAAAATGTTTCATGAGATAGTCTATTTATCTGCATTTATTTCATCCCTCATAGTGAAATGATTACTATGTCAAAAATGAAATATGTGTATTGTATCATATATAGTTCCCTATCAAAGTCTATTTACTTACAAATATGTTTGTATCAGATTTTGATTCTGAGAGTAAAGGTGTTATGCAAACTGGATATCCATTGATTCCCCCTCCCCTCCAAATATAGCTTCCTCATATTAAATGCAAATTACACTGGCCTGGTCACTAGATTTGAGGTCCATTCATCCAGGAGGAGGGAATACGCTGAATGGACCTAAAATTCTTTATCCCCTTCATCTGCAACCTGAGGAAGCCAGCAGAGAAGATTGCAAATGATAATCACATGATCAGACAGCACTTATAACCAACCATAAATGTAAATAGGTTGCCAAGTAATCAAAATGCCAACATGTAATTGTGCGGAGGATGCCCAGAAGTGGTTATTTGCCATAAAAAATCCATTTCCAAACAGTCTTTAAACAAGTGATTGTACCATATTTTTGGGATGAATTGACAACTGACTTAACAACTTTAGTTAAAGGATCATCATATTTAATTTTGATCCTGTAATACAGTATTTGTATTACTTATTTATTTGAACAAGTATAAGAAATTTGTAGATGATGCAAAACTGAATAATACAGCTAATACCCTAGAAAGCAGAAATAAAATTAAAAAGAATCCTGGTAATTTAGAGAAAGGGATTGAAAATAATAGAATGAAATAAGCATAGCATAAACATAAATATAGGGTAGTGGGATTAGTAAAATACATTTGAAAATTATACTGACATCATTAATCAGATATTGAATATGAATTGGCAGTATTACCACAATCTTTGCATCAACAGAAATATAGTTTCCAAATTATGGGAAGCCATAAAATCATTCTTGTCAACACTGGCTATATTGTGTCCAGCTCTGGGCATCACATTTGAATGTTTTGGTAGAACTCAAAAAGGTACAAAAAAGAAAAACAAGGATGATGAGGAAATTGAAACTAAATGATTGAGGACAAAGTAAAAAAAAAAAATTAGGGTGCAGTACAGCCTTAAGGAAAAAAGACTGAATAAGGTCTTGAGAACTTATTGTATAGAAGAAAGCCACAACCCATTTTCTAACATTTTAGTTTATAGGGTATAAAGTATCTTAGTTTTAAGATAGCAGTTAATCATGGGGGGCTGGGGAATAGAAACAATTATTTGATAGCAGAACCAGTTACCTGTGAAATTAGGTAACCTCTTAATTAGCTAACTAAGACTTACCTAATACTATCTACATTTTACTGGATGCTCTGAAGCAATATATATATATACTATATGCAGTTTTAAGATATGTTTTAATTTGAATTTCTGAACTGAACAAAATGTTAAACTTAATGCCTTTAATGTATGCATGAATATGCCTATGCGTGCATACACACACACACACAGAATAAGTCTCATCAATAAATAGCTATGCTAATTCCTGGTATTTTTGTATAATTCAATAATTCAATATGTAAATGATTAGATTTAAAGTCACACACAATTAATATTATGTATATCTACCTTAATTTCCTTTATGTTAATAAAGATTTCAGAGGTACTGTTTCAGATGAATCATTAACTGACATAGGCAACAAGAAGGTCTTTTTATTAGTAATACCCAAATTGTGGGAATTATTACCTAACAATATTTGCCTGCATCTTTCATTTTATCAGCAGAAAGTCACTTACCGTATATACTAGAGTATAAGCCGAGTTTTTCAGCCCATTTTTTGTGCTGAAAAAATCCCCCTCGGCTTATACTCGAGTCAGATTCCCCTCTGAAAAAAAATATGGTGTGGAGCTCCGGAGCTGGGCAGGCACTTCCCTGCTTCCGTGTTTCCTTTGCAACTTTTAAGCATGGGGGTAATCGGAAGCAGAAAAGTTCTTGCATGAGGATATATTTTTTCTTTTTTTAACTGTTTTTTTTGGGGGGGAAAGACCCACCGTCATGTGAGAATGTTCAGACACGAAATCTATCTGCCCGAAAATAAGTGTGTGTGTGTGTGGGGGGGAATTTTAACAGAGGGAAGATGTAGGGAGAAGACAAAAGCGACGGAAGATCCTTCAGGGGAAACTGAGGGGGAGACTCACCCTTGGTCCAGATGAGCCCCCTTCCCCGCCCCTAAGGAAGCAGAGGCAGCCAGCAAGGGCAGGCAAGCCCCACTTCACAGACTCTGTCCGTCCTCGCTCCCACCCAAAGCCACGAAGTCCCCCAATCACGCAGCCCAGAATCGCCCTCCCCTCAGGGGGCAGCAACGACGCCCGGTTTTTCCCGAGACAAGAAGCTCCGCCGTGCAATGAAAGCGCCCTGGCTCTAGGCTCGCGGGCTCAGAAAACAACGCGAGCCGAGGTCGCTTCGGCTCCGCTCGGCTTCTCCAACATCCAGCACCGCCCT